GGGCACCGACAACAAAACTAGGCTCCAAGCGACTCCAACTACTGGATTAGTTCTGCTCTACTACTGCAACTCAAAATCGGGCTCCCGACTAGCAGGATCCACGAAAAGTAGGGTCTGCTCCCAGTGGGTGGCTTCCTGCAGTTCCGCACCGATCCGATCTGGCGATCCACCCAACTGGCTCCAAGTCGAAATCCAACAAAAAGCCTCTGGCATGCAAACATACCGGCACACTTGCAATCTACCAGCTGGAAGCCTCAACTGCTTTCACAAGCGCTAACTGCTCCCGAGCTCTCCAGGAAAAAATCGATCCATGTGAAATGTTGTAGCAATCAACTGACCGAAACTACAAGAGGATGCCTCATGACTAAGGTCATTCACCCGCTGTGAGGTCATAATAAATCGCCCAAATCCGTGGCAAAGCAATGAAGCTCGAATCATTGCCGTGGAGTTACCTCGTGGCGTCTGGGGCGGACGCCTTGCCTCCGGGCCAGTCGTGAACGCAAGGTCCGGGAGTAGCTCGCAGTTGAACCACACCTCGGCTCCAAACTGCGCGTTGGCTATGGTACTTGCGTGCGAGAGCGTTTGTGCATCTGTGTGTGTGTGTGTGTGTGTGTCCGTGTGTGCGTGTGTGTGCGTGACCGTGTGTGTGTGTGTGTGTCTGCTCGCGTGCGAGTGCCTCTGCGTGTGCACGTGCACGTCTGTGAGTGCGGGCGTGCGGGCGGCGATGGATGGGCGGGTGGGTGGGTTCCCGTGTGGTGTTTGTGTGTGTGTGTGTGTTTGTGTGTCTGTGTGTCTGTGTGTCGGTGTGTCAATGTGTCTGTGTGTCCGTGTGTCCGTGTGCGTGTGTCCATGTGTCTGTGTGTGTGTATGTCTGTGTAACTGTGTGTGTGTGTGTCCGTGTGTGTCTCTGAGTTATACCAATGTGTGTCAGTGTGAGCGTGTGTGTTTATGTGTGTATGTGTCTCTGTCTAGGTAGATAGATGGGTAGATAGATAGAGAGATGGATAGATAGATAGACCGACAAACAGATAGATCGATGGATAGATCAACATCAACACATAGATAGATAGAGGTACATAGATAAAGGTAGCTAGATACAAGTAGATAGATAGAGGTGTATGGATAGAGGTAGACAGATAGATAGATCGATAGATAGATCGATAGATAGATCGATAGATAGATCGATAAATAGATCGATAGATAGATCGATAGATAGATCGATAGATAGGTAGATAGATGCATAGATGGATAGACAGATGCATGCATGCATGGATGGATGGATGGATGGATGGATGGATGGATGGATGGATGGATGGATGGATGGATGGATGGATAGATGGATGGATGGATGGATGGATGGATGGATGGATGGATGGATGGATGGATGGATGGATGGATGGATGGATGGATGGATGCATGGATGGATGGATGGATGAGAAACAGATCAAGTGCAAAGAAGGAAAGAAACGAGAGAAACCAAAAGAAACCAAAGAAACCAAAGTCACCAAAGAACAGAAAGACAAAGAGAACCAGTTGTTTCGTTTTTGGAAACTGGACGCTTTGCCTGGGCGCTGCCAGGCCATGGAAGCGGCCGGCTTCGCTCACGCGGCAGCGGAAGCCGCAGGACTGCCGCTCCAAAGCGTCGTCCGATGCCTTGAGGCGGATGTCAGGATTTTCGTTGGGGTGGCATTCAGAAATTTAGAGCAAAAAAAATGAGGATGTCACTTTGGACCAGAACTGTGCTTTTGGCGCAGGTTCCCAAAGCCATGTGCCATCCAACAAACTGCTCTTTGTGTTCGATGGTGGCTCAAAAGTTAATATTCTATCCTTACAGTACGGACTCAGGGCGCAACGCTGCAGCAGTCAAGGTCGAACCTCAGCCAAGCACCCTGCGACGGTGTGTCTGAAAAAGGGGGTAGCCAGTGCGTTCCAACAAGTTTCCCTGGAGCGAGTGCGCTCATTGCTGATACGATTCCCGGGTCGAACTGGCTTTCATGTGGCTTCCTAGGAAGAATATCACTTGCGCTGGAGACCCAACAGCTTATGGTTGGGAACGCCTGTGGACTCGTAAAGCCAACTAATGCAGGGAAACCACGGGTTCTGACTAGACTCAGCAAGAAGCAACCGCCAACTTTGCTAATGCATTCAATTCAACGCAGTCTTTGAATGCAAAGTCGAAAGCAAATGGACATGTATGAGACACGCAGGAAAGCTACATCGTTCGAGTAAACTCTGTAAACCTCGTAAGCTGGCAGAGAGCCTCCTGAGGTTTGTGCTTGCCCCTGGGATCCACGCGCCATCTGCACCATCGGAAACAACAGCTGCTGTGTTCAAAATAGTTTCAGCATTGACAAAAGTGTTCAACAGTCAAACTTGTTCCAGCATTGACAGCTTGGTCGAAGAGGATGACGTTCGACAAGTGTGTCCGACCAAAAGGCACACCTCTCTTCTGGATGAGTTTTTAAAATCCGAAAGGGAGTTCCTTAGGTTTAGAAACCATCAAAAGACACACACAGACACGCGCGCGCACCTCTTCACCCCTTAAGCCTCCCGGCACCTTGTCCGCCCCACCGAGCAAGCGCTGCGGAGAGGCGATCACCGGCCGCGCCAGGTGCTGGTCCAGGGCCTGGGGCCAGCCATGTTGCGGGGGTTGTTGGTTCGTCCCCTTTTGGAGAAAGGACCCTGTAAAGGGTCCCTTCGTTGATTCGTTTTGCCTCTTGAAAAGAAGTGGTCAAAAGGCGAAACTCTGGCTTGGTGTCTTTGTGAAATGGATCACTTTTTTTTGGCACCTAGATTTTGACTTCTGGCATTGGACCGCAAATGGCCGGCATGCCTTTGTGTGCCTTCAAACAACCGTCACATGTCTTCGGAATCGCGCAACATGGTATTCCCTCCAATGCAAAGGTCCCCCAATCGACTGATTGCCTCTTTGTGTCCAACGCATTCAAGAAGGGTTCCTAGTTGAGTTTGACACAGTCCCAAAGGATCTGTACAACTCGTCCAGAACTTGAAGGTCATGTTCATGAAGTGGGAAACCAACAGGTCAAGGTTGATGCGCACTAATACACCAACTATGTGGCACGTGAAACATAAGTCTGGGGTCAAAGGACAATGGCTTGGCAGTGCTCGGACTCAGGGCCATCAGGTCTAGGGGAACAAATGGGGTGGACTCCCAAGTACCACATAGACAATGGCATTCAAGCGAGCCAAACAAAGCGCTCACTGTATCCAGCTAGCTACAATGAGAACTGCTAAAAAGCTCTGAATATGTGCTGTGCTGAAATCCGTCTCTATTAAATGGAGCAACCGTTTGAGGAGTGGCATAGCCTGCCATATCCTCAGGAATCTGCGTGGCAGTTTCTTACATCGCGAGATGGGGTTGCCTTGAGAACAAGCAAGTAGCGAGGAAAGGCCAAGACAGGCCGACGTTGCCCAAGGATCACTGAGGAACAGTGGTCAGCTGCAAATGCAGATGTGCATAGCCGAGACCGTGTTCTGCAATCATAGATATGCCAAGTTACGTGAAATGCCAAAGCGGAGAGATCCACACCAAACGGCGAAGTGCCCCAAAAGCCTCAAGCAAACAGGTGCGCCCGTCAGATTTGGGGAAGCAACGCGTTCAGTGATTGCTGCCATTCTTGCTGTGAATCGCAATGCACGAGCACTAGGATCGCTTTCCCAGAATCAACTGGAGCCCCGGTTTGGGATCTGTCAACCAAGGCAAAGAGGCCCCCTCAGAGCTGGAAGCAACGAAGGGCCAGTCTGGCGCTCCACCAGCTGGTCATCATTGAAGGGCGCCACCAACACCTCGCAGCGCTGCGGCAGCATCTGGCCGCCTAGAACGCAAGCCACGCACCAGGGGTGGCAACGCCAGGACCTTGCAGCCTTGCACAATCGGAAAAGGCTGAAAGTGTGCATCTTGCGGTTCGACGTGGCGCAACATTCGCGCCCTGGATTTTGTGTGCCAAATATGTGTTTCCCCCCTGCACCTTCTGCCAGCCACCGATCCCGTGCAAAGGCCACACTGGGGAACATGTCCTCGCAAACCAGCATGAAGCCTTGGCTTCGGAAGAACAAGGACCGCACCAGACCGGGAAAAGCAGCTTTGCAAAGGTCGTCTCTGGGTACCCGTCACTAGGAACCTTGCGTAACTCCTGCCAAGCATCGACCGATTGCGGCAGGCTTACAACCTAAACGTCTGGGACAAAACATGACCAGCAAGCGCCGCAGAAAGCAAGAACTATGGTGTCTTTGCACAGCTTCAGAAACAGGCCACAAACAACGATGATGGCTCATAAACATTCTCAAAACACACAGAAGCAACCTTGAGCAATGCCAGTGCCTCCCTACTCCTACTCTGTAGCAACCCTCAACAGAGCCCTGCACACTTTTTTAAACAGCACTCTGTCAATAAGTCCTGGCCGGACCCTCCAGCCGACCTTGCCCAACAGCACCGACTCTCAATCACGCATTAACAAAACCCTCCAGCGGCACCCTGCAAGAGGACAGCATTTTGCAATATTACCTTGCAAAGCAGCACCCTCAGCAGAGGCTGATTAGCATCGCGGGAGGACTCTTCCGCGCGGAGCCCCTGGACGCTTCTCACAGAGCAACTTGCCCAGAGCCACTTGCAAAGAGTCACTTGCACAGAGAGGCATCTGCACAGAGCTAACTTGCACAGAGCTAGTTGCGAAGAGTCATCTGCACAGCGGCAAGTAGTCTGGGCACAGTCTGCATGAAAGTCTGACCATGAATAGTGGGGGGACAGTCGGGGTGTGGGTGAAGTTCTTGGGTAGGGAGCGGGGGTAGGGTTGTTGTCATCGCACGGAATTGCGACCCTCTGCGGGGATCCAGGCAAAACCTCAGACTTCTTTCGACTCTTGTTGTGCCCGCGCGTCCCTCTGCGGGGATCCGCGTTCGATGTGCAAAGATGCCTGTCAAATCGCTCTCGCTTTGACCACCAACGTTATGACCGAAAGAAGAAAGAGAAACAGAAAGAGAAACACGGAAACACGCTGCGCGATAGAAGGATCGGGGGCTTGAAAAAACATGTCGGCAACATGCTTTCGGGCCACTCGACCTCTAGTTGTATTGGCCCCGGCTTTTTGCAAACCCCACTCAGCACAAGGCCTCCCCTCATGACTCAGGAACCCTTGCTTCACTCTGAGATTGGGAGCAACGGGCTGTGAACTCTGGGCGGCCTGATTGTTGGCCACATCCCCAGCATCACCGGCCTCGCTCGGACCTGGCTGCCTATTGGATTTGATTTGGTACCAGTCGAGAGTTGCTCGGGGCTGGTCTCTCGTATATGAGTTTCATGTACTAGCCGAGAGGGCAGGTCTTGAGTTTGTTTGGGGTTCATTTAGGCTCAGCAAAGGTCTGATGTGGTTGCGTCAGTTTTGGGCTAATTTTGGTGGTTTGGGGCAACGCCCAAATCAAAACCAATAGACAGCCACAGGTCCGACCGCAGTCAGCCAACCCACCCCGAGCAACTCAATCACAGCCAACACACAGCCCAGTGAGTAACCGGGGATGCTGGGAATGCGGCCGCCCAGCCAACCAACCAACCAAGCAAACCAACCAAGCAAACCAACCAAGCTACCAACCAACCTACCAACCAACCAACCAAGTCTTACCCCTGGTCAGGTGGCTGATTCGTTGGTTATTCCAGTTTGGTTTGGTTAAAAGCACTCCCCAACAGCTCCGTGGCCAATCTTTTTGCAACAAGACTTTGCAACACGACCCTGTGACAGCACCCAGCGACAGCCCAACAGCACCCTGTGCAACTCACAATCACACTCTCCAGCAGCACACTGCAACAAGAACCCTGCAACAGTCCTCTACCTGAAGTTAGAACCCCTTTAGCTTTCAGCTATGAGGGGGACAACAGCAGAGGCACAGGTATCAAAAGCGCCAGCAGGATGCACGGCCCTCTTCATTTCGTGACAAACCGAACGAAGCACAGAGCATGGCCAAACGGCTAGTGGCCCATCCACTCCGAGATGAGCACATCCACCTTCTCGCCTTGCAGAAGCTCATCCACGGTCGCGGCAACCTCCTCGTATTGCACAAAAGCCCTCTGGAGCATTCGGGGGGGGGGGTTCTCGGGTTCGGATTCTCGAAAAGGTGGCTCCTTTTTTGGATTCAAGCAGGTGGCGCAGGTGCCATTTGGGAAATGGTCAAAGGGCCACCTTCCTCGTAAGTGCCAAGCCTGTGTCCGGTGGAAGGTGATGGAGAAGAATCATCCAAACAGGGTCCAAACAGGGCTGAATTGGTTGGATTCTTGCTTGCTGTTCATTGGTTTCAGAAAAACATCCCCAGTGGACTCTTTATGCATATTAGGCTTGTACTGTAAGCAGACACACCCATGAAGGCAAACCACGAACGTCTCTAGACACCGTCAATTTCTAGATAGCAGACGTATTAGGGTTTGTCTTAAAATGCATGGTCTCCTTTCCCTTTCCAACACCAAAAGATTCGGAATATATATATATATATATATAAAAACCTGGGCACATGCTCTGCTGGATATGTGCCCCATTTGGCTCCTCCACCGCGCCCGGCACCACCGCCACCTGCGGTGCGCCGTTGGCCAGCAGTACCTGCCGCGCCAGGCCCGCCATCTCAACGTCGCGCTCCACGGCGACCACACGGCGTGCGCCTCCCAGAGACACAGGCGAAGAAAAGAAAATGGGGGAAAAACGTGGAAAATACATCTGCAAGACCAAAGGCTTGGAGGGGCAACACACGCGAAAATAAGGGCGGAAATATGTTTACTTGAAGAAATGAAGAAAATACAATCAAAAAAGCCCGCCGTGTAGTGACAATTCCGAAGGGAAGCTCACTAGTCAAACCTAGCAGAAGCCCATGTTTGCTTAATGGGTTGGTCACTCTCTGCCGCGCAAGTCCTCATTTTGTCAACGCGCCATGCTTGTCGTAGCAGTTTGAACACGACTCAGTAGAAGGTTGCATTCTAATGAACCCTATAACAGCAAGATAAACGTCCTGAAACAAAGAGTGCAGCACGAAGATGTTCATAACGAATGAGCAAGAGCGGGCAGATGAGGTGGAGCTTCAAAGTTGTGACAGAAGGAAGAAGCACACAAATTGAGCCCAAGGAAGACACCGCGAGAGGAAGCTGGGAAACAATCAGTAAAAGGTGCAGGAAGAAACCAGTGAGCAAGTAAAGCAAACGAACAAGTGAGAACTGCAACTCATACTTGAGAGGCGGTGAACGAAAGCTGGCCTAGCCAGCCCAACGACGACATGTACGACTCAGGAGTTGTTAGGGTATTAGGACTCGGACTAGCAATCCTAAATGAACGTCTAGAAATGTCTAGAAAGACAGGTTCCCCAGCTGCAAACATGCGGACGAAATTATGGGAAATACGCGCGTGCCGGGGGCGGCACAGGGGAATCGAGCCTCTGGGTGGGTGGGGGGGCGGGCCTTAAGGATTTGGTCTTGCGAATTTGCCCCCCCCCCCCCCCCGCCCCGCCCCAATCCCTGATTAAATCAGGCATCGTGGGAAGCTCAGCCCCTAAAAGAAGCTAAAGCTTAGAGAACTCCCGCTAGCACGGCTAGCTTTCGTGAAAAGGAAACAACGTCCGGACGAAGGGAGAGTAGTTGACAGCAACGCAAACTCCAAAAGGAAATGTAGACAGATGGGAAGAGGGCAAAACATGAAAAGGAAGGGGACAGGGAAAGGGAACCAAAGGACACAAGGGAGAGAGGGAGAAAGGGGGAGAAAGGGGGAGACAGAGTCAAAGCATTGTAAGAATAACTCCGAAAGTTAAGAGACAAACGGTTTGTGAAAAGAAACAAAGGTACAAGCAAGCAGCTTGTGAGCAATGGGGTGGCTAAAAAGCGTAAGGATCAAGCTTCTCGGGGCTGAGTCTTGGCTCCATGAACATTTGTAACAAATCTGAGACGGGGCAAAAATGACACAAGCATGCAAGCTGCAGCAGAAAAGACCCGCAATGCGCAAAAGGTGAGTAAGAAGCAGCATAACCAATGCTGGCACGCAGCCTGCCCAAGTTTCCCGTTCGGTGCCTGCTTGAGCTGCAAATACGGAGAGTATCCCAGTTCCGCAGCCGACTTCAAGAACGACTTTGTCCTGCAGCAGGCAACTTTTGCCAAAAGAACGCGCAATTATTGCCTTTGCGCCAGAAATTTAGCCCCCGCAACTGGAACATTGAATGCATGGGCGCCTGGCAGCTCCGGAAAATCGCCTGGCGGAAGCTTTCCGTGCGCACGCCGTCTTCGATCATCTCTCTGTGGGTGCCTGAAAGACAGCTCTGGGCTCTGGGCCTCTGAAAGCAATGGAAAACAGCGGCCTTAGTTCAACCAGCTCTGCACTCCGGCTTCGGCATGGGTAGCTCCGTTCACCCCCGGCCTCCAATTGTGCGGAATCACACAGCCCCTTAAAAAGGTAGGTGCAAACAACAGCAATGCGGCCGGTTCCCGCCAGCCTAAGTCGCTGTAGCTGACATCTTCGTCCTCCGTGTCCACGGCCACCCCGTCACCAGCAAATTCCTGTGATATCATGAACCCCTATTCGCTTGCTACACCCGGCATTTGCCTGATCTGGCTACAGTCACCAGCCGTTGCACATGCAGGGCAAAAAGCAGAAATTAACAAGCCACCACTGGCCTCGTCTCAAGACCCCAGTAAAGGACGTCCTCTCCCACTTATGCCCAAGATTCAAGGCCTGCAAATTGCAACCGAAGCCAGGCAGCGTGGGGAACAAAGACCGTACTTTCCGATTGGTTGACCTCACATGGGAAGCAGAGGACGGTGCCTCCCGCAACTCCCCCTTTCGCAGTGCCAAGTCTCTCCACCAGGATGCCACTCGCCGTTGGCCCGGCAAAGCACCCGGCGAGGCTTGCGCCTCGCGTCCTCGAAGAAGACCTTCGAAACAGCTCCAGCAGAATTGAGTTGCGCTGACCGCGAAGGGTCCTACAAAGTCAAAAAAAATAAGTGATCCTAGGGGGAGTGAATCCTCTTCCAGCTTGCAAGGCTGTGAGCCTCAACAGAACCTTGGCAAACCTGTTGCGGAAAATCCAAAGCAAAATGGCAGGAAGAACTTGCCCAGAGGAACATGAGCGCAAAATCAGAGCATTTCCTGTCTCATCCTGGGTGGCGAGCCCACGGCAAGCTGATCGCCAAAGGCAGCGCTCCTGGGAGTGGCAAATGCTCACGGCCCGGCAAACAAAGCCGAAACGAAAGATGACAGCACCCAAACATTGACTTTGCGGTCGCTGTGCATTTTCCCTTCATTGTTCATTGGTTTACATTCTTTGTAGAAAAATAAGTTTCGGCTGGCCAAATCCTCTTCTTCGGGCTTTTCTGCAAAACGTGGGAATCAGCAAGGTATGACTTTGTGATTTCAATGTCCCCGGGCTTGCTGCATGCAGGGTAAACGGGTTCAAGCGAACCGGGTTCCCTTTGAGAACACGCGGCTCCCGGCAGAACTCCGTGCGGCCGGCAGAGCTGTGGCCCTCCGCGAGGCGGCGCACTCCGCGCAGCCCGGGCGGTTGCCCCGGGGGCAGCCATGAACCGCCAATCCGAGCGCATGGAGTTGGCTTCACGTGGCTTTCAAGTGGGTGGGTGAAGCGCCGGGCAAGGGCTGAGACACAAACACTGGTTGAGCACCAAGATGCGCCACCCTGGCAGGTAGGCGACGGTTCACGCCTGTCATGTGTGTCCATCTCTGGCTGCAGCTCATGGAAGAAGGATGTGGCGCTTTGTTCCAAGCACAGGAGCGGATGCTGCGGGTCAATCCAACTGGGGCACAGGCCCCTCATTTGTTCTTTCTAAGTTTCTAAATATCAGTGGCTGTGATCCACATAAAGGTAGTGGTTGACGTCGAAAACGACAAATACACCAGCAAATAACAAGCGACCAACGACAACAGAAATCACGCAAGCAACAAATAAGAACAACAAACAACAGGACAATAACAACAGCAGCAGCGAGAACATCAAAAGCAAATGTTACGCA